GACTGAGTTAGTTAGGTTGGTCTCTCTCTCTCTCTCTCTCTCTCTCTCTCTCTCTCTCTCCCGCGCACGCGCTCGTGCTCGTTCGTGAACTCAAGCAGTGCACTGTGTGGTGAGGGATGCCAGAGGTGAAGCAGTAGGGCTATCATGTTGCCATTGCTAGTTGTTCTTTTCTGTTATTTTTGGAGTGGGATCATGCTGTTGTGTTGGGCGTTGCAGGAGAGAGCTTTTGCTTGGTGGAAAGTGAGCCATCGAGTAGGAGCGTCATTTCAAAGTTCAGGAAGAGATAGTAGGGTATCGGCGGGTAGCAGGGCTAGGGCGGTACGCCTGGCCTGCTATCTCAACATTGCAAGCATGTGCCATATTTGTGGGGCCGACCCACCATACATCGTCTATGATTTCATAGAGTGTGTGCGGTGTCTGGCAACTGTCATTCTGAAATTTCTTTGAACTGTGTAGCAATTTTGAGGAAGAAGGCAACCTTGATTCTCATGAGTTAGGCATGACCTCCATATCTGCACGCTCACCTAGACATGGATGATGCACGAGTGAGAGTCACCTTGCACATGGTCCTACTTACCAAAAGAATACCAAGATTTCCTTCCAGAGCGTTCCTGATGCCAACACTGTTCACGCCACGTCGACTGGGATGCAGCTGGGCAATCAAACCACCGTCCAAGCGAAATGTACTGTCAGTCGCTACTCAACTGATCTGGAAATAATGCCAAGCACTGGACAAAATGCAAAGAACAACATAGAAGCCAATGACAGTGTGGCTACTAGTCAAGTCTTTAGGCCACCACTCTTCCTGAAGCTCTTCTCCAAGTTCTCCCAGGCCTCTCAGTGGCTCAAATCAGTGAGCGCAACCAACCCACTGCCTGCTTATATATCGGAGCCTGGCCTGGCATCAAAGACAAATAGTGGGGGTTTCGTAACACATGACAAAACCAGCAACCAACTAGTCAATGTCACAGAAACTACTCGGCAGTGTCAGCATATGTACACGAAGCTGCCATGGACACGGCTACGAATATACCAATAGAAGACAACAGTCGCATCGCCAGTCTCCAATGGAGACTTAACCCCAGTCCACAAGACCCAGAATGAAAAGACGAGTAATCCGGAAGCCAGCGAGCATTATCAATCAGCAGTAATCCAAATCAGAAGGGAATTACAACCTGTCTGCAGCATGCTAAAAGAAGAATGGACAACACCTCCGATGTCCTACACTGGCCATGTGCAGGTCAGGACCATGATCCGTAAAAGACGCTGTAGACCCGGCTAAACCACACATGGTGCATGTGAATTCTGGGCAAGCCTGATGATCACATCCCGAAGGATGACCACATGACGCCGACAGGCAAGTGGTCTAAATCACACAAAACCAGCAAGAAGTGTTTGATCCAGCAAACTACTGCTTCTAGACTGCGCGCTACCTTGAGAGCAGAAGTGTGGAAAACTAGCGATCTGTTGCCTTAATGAACCCTCTTCGCTTGCTGGTGGACACTGCATCCCGGATGACTGAGACCAAGAACACCATCGACACTTTGGCACAGTAAAATAGACATCACCCAGTCCCTGAGACAGAAAAGTAAACACCATTCCTCAATTGGACTGCAAAACGGGCACAGTTCACAACCCCTGAGACAATAAAACAAACTCCATTGGACCCTGAGACAGAAGCTCGCGACCAAGAGATACAGCCATAAAGTTAAATCGAAAGGGCAGCTAGATTACAGGCAGTGTCGCATGCTTTTTTTCTGCCAACTCTTCAGGAGGTCGAACCCCTCAACCTCCTGATGCTATGTTCCCTGCTGACAGTCTTCCTTCACCTTAGTGGACACCAAAAATTATGCACCCTTTGATAATCCATACCCTCAAGGAAACACACGAAAAACGGTGATAAGAGGAGGCTGCTGCTTACCTGCAGGCTGGCCATCACCATAACCAGGAGGGCATAGGAGCCGATCCCACCAGTGTACACCTGCATCCAATGGCCAAACAGTGTTCGCATTATTACTGCTTATTTTTTCAATTCATAAACAGAACCTTATGGTCCTGTTGCCATTCTATTCTGCGGAGAAGCGGTCCTTGTCCACGGGCACCTAACCATAAAATAGGTAAACATCCACCATGCAATCCCCTCCTTACAGGCAGGTGAACCCTCGGCAGCATCGACTGCCAGGTCAGCCCATGCAGAGAGTTCAATTGCCCGTCGTATGAACTAACCCCTCCCCCCCCAAAAAAAAAAAACACAATCTAAAAAGACAGCATGGTCTGTTACTCTCAGCGCTACAGGGCTCCCAGACGAAAACCTGTACTCCCGGATCAGAATAAGCCAAAGATGGTAACCCCTTAAAAAAAAAAAAAATTGTCCCAGTTGACTCTGCCAGGCCTGCCTAGTTCCCGCCACTGAAACCTTCCGAAAACGAGACTTACCGAGTACTGGTACAAACATATGAACTGAGGGTGTGTTTATCATGCTTCTTAGAATATCTGTTGAAGTACTGTCCGCAGACTGAGCAAACGACTCACACACAGACTGGGCCGACACAAGTGGAAGCCGTTCAGCAAATTAGGAAACTGCTGCAGTTGATATGAATACTAACCTCGTTGAGTTCTCGTTGCTGCAGGAAGATTTTTAACACCAAGGTAAGCGGTCTTAAAGGCGGAAGCTCCCGAATGCATTTCTGAGGCAGTTGACGCCACAAGCGATAGACAAAAACTTTGTTAAAAGGATACGACCAAAATAACAAAGCAACCTAGCAAGTCATGCAGTTCCAGTACAATATGCCTGATCAAGCCCCAGTGCAACATTGTGCGAAATATCAATCAGACAAGGGAGAGAGCACTGATATGGTAGAAGGCAGCAGCAGTTTCTTGCTAAAGGTGATAGCACCTTGGGCAGCATTTCGCGAAAGGTGTTATTACCTTTGGTCACGGCTTTAACTCTGGGCACTACGGCTGGGGTGATTAGCCAATAGCTAAGTAGCGTAGGGTCTGAAAAATAGAAGCGCACACAAACTTGTGTTGTTCCCAAACACCCCTCTTTCCTCACACTGTGGTCGTATGAAATTTGTTCTAACCCAGGCCCAGTGGTGCTTCATTCCACTCCCATTGGTTTCCTGGTTGAGCGTTTATGGCACTGAACCTGCACCTGACTTCTCATCCCAGGGGTGGCCACACGACTTGGGAGGAGCGTCAATATAACTGAGCAATAACGAGCTCTCTACTAGTGACAGGTGAGGTTACGCAGCATTGAGGAGAACTCGTCACGATTCCAGACCGAAAAGTCGCAGTTGAAAAAATGCCGGAGGTTTTTTAATGCAAAATGCAAGTATATCTGCATGGTTCATCAGGATATGATTCATATTGGAATAGCAAGGGCATACAGTCATCATCATTCTGTGGTGTTAACACATAACCATTCGGGAGTACAACTGCATGGATCGTCAGCATCGTAGTTGATATTTGCAGACGCAGGAGTATATATGTGTGGTTCAAGAGCAGATCATAATTGTTATTTGATACAATCCATACTTCTTATATCCAACTACAAGCTCCTTGATAGGGGCTAGGTGGAGAATATAGTCTTGGATGTTCTCCTTCTTCAATATATGTTCCGCAAGGGTACCTGTTGCGGCTTCGCTCGCAAGGGATTCAGGGGGAAATGGGAGAAATGAGTCTGGCAGGGTTCCGGCTGTTTTGGGGTGGTGGTCGGGGGTGTTTTTAGACTCATGGTCCCGTGGGGGGTTGTGCCCTAACAGCTATGGCAATGTGTGTGCAGCACCTCCTGCTAGTTGGGGAGGTTCTGCAACAGCTGGCTCTGGAATCGGAATGCTATGTCTACCCACACTGTCTTCCACCGAATCTAGACTGACATCCAGTGGCATACCTTGGTTGGTATGGCACGCAAGTGGCATTCATGAGGTCTTGGGTTCAATCCCCGTTGGCCTCATGTACCTTCCTGGGCAAGCTTGGCGCCAGGCACTGACAAAGACCGGAGGGGCGGCACGTCCTTTTTTCCCCGAGCTGTGGAGGTGTGGTGGAGGAGCGGGGAGAGTGAAGAAGCGGGGGAAGAGGGTGGAGGAGGGCGGCAGGAGCAGAGAAGTCGTGGGGGATGAGCGGGGTAGTTAGTTTGGGCTCTCTCTCTCTCTCTCTCTCTCTCTCTCACTCTGCTGCGCGCTGTTTTCCCGTGTTTTTTTTTTTTTTTTCATAAAGATCTCCCGATGGTCCACGGGTCAGATATCAAACTGATCGGAACAGATACAACACTTGATCATCATCGTCGTCATCGTTTTGGGGGGCAGGATAGTTAGTTAGTTTGGGCCCTTTGGGGTGTCTTTCTCTCTCTCTCTGTGGTGCACGCGCACGTGCGTGCGCCATTTTTCAAACTGATCGGAACAGATACTACACTTGATCGTCATCGTCGTCGTCGTTTTGGGGGGCGGG